TGGCGGCGGTGGTGGTGGTGGTGGTGATGGTGGCGGCGGTGGCGGTGATGGTGGCGGCGGTGGCGGCGGTGATGGCGGTGGCGGCGGTGGTGGCGGTGGTGGCGGTGGTGGCGGCGGTGGTGGCGGTGATGGCGGTGGCGGCGGTGGTGGCGGTGGTGGTGGTGGTGGCGGTGATGGTGGCGGCGGTGGTGGCGGTGGTGGTGGTGGTGGCGGCGGTGGTGGCGGTGGTGGCGGTGGCGGCGGTGGTGACGGTGGTGGTGGTGGTGGCGGCGATGGTGGCGGCGGTGGTGGCGGCGGTGGTGGCGGTGGTGGTGGCGGTGATGGTGGCGGTGGCGGCGGTGGTGGTGGTGGTGGCGGTGGTAGCGGTGGCGGCGGTGGTGGTGGTGGTGGCGGTGGTAGCGGTGGTGGCGGTGGCGGTGGTGGCGGCGGTGGTGGTGGTGGTGGCGGTGGCGGTGATGGCGGCGGTGGTGGCGCTGGTGGTGGCGGTGATGGTGGCGGTGGCGGCGGTGGTGGTGGTGGTGGCGGCGGTGGTGGCGGTGGTGGTGGTGGTGGCGGTGATGGTGGCGGTGGTGGTGGTGGTGGCGGCGGTGGTGGCGGTGGCGGCGGTGGTGACGGTGGTGGTGGTGGTGGCGGTGATGGCGGCGGTGGTGGTGGTGGCGGTGGTGGTGGTGGTGGCGGCGGTGGTGGCGGTGGCGGCGGTGGTGGTGGTGGCGGCGGTGATGGTGGCGGTGGCGGTGGTGGTGGTGGCGGTGGTGGTGGTGGTGGCGGCGGTGGTGGTGGTGGCGGCGGTGGTGGTGGTGGCGGCGGTGGTGGCGGTGGCGGCGGCGGTGGTGGTGGCGGCGGTGATGGTGGCGGTGGCGGTGGTGGTGGTGGCGCCGCCGCGATACCGGAGCCGGCCTCGGGCCGCTACCACGGTCGGCGTGGAAGTTGCGGCCAACGCCGAGGCCCAGGGACTGCGCTCGGCGTGGCATCGCGCTCGGGGCAGGAGGGTCGCCTGGCTCACGGCAAACACCGGTGACGATTATCTAAACGGTTCCCGGTCCTCCCCTATGCTGACTCGGCCTCAAATGAGTACCTGGTGTGGTGTGTAAACATCGCCACTGGGGAGACAAAGGCGGCCGGGTGCGGTGTTGGCAACCCCCTCGTGTGCCGTGCCGGCCTTCATAGTTGCTCGCTAACAACACTTGCCCTGACAGTCTGTTAAAGGCTATAGGGAGGTAATCTTTGTCTTTCCACGTGCACACCCGGGCACAATCCCTTCTGTGTGCACGGTTTAATGAGTTTTTTTATTTAAGCGCGACAGACGCGAGGATTGCCATCTTCGGTCTTGGCTGCTCCGCACAGCGGCAGTGCAGCGTGATAGATGGAGCCGGATAGGTGGCGTCGCGTGTCAAATTCCTCCTCTTGTCAACGAGTCATCCACCGATGGTCGTTTTTTTCCCCAAGAAGCACTTTGGTGAATTGTCACAACTCCTATTACCCGACCTCTCCGATGCGCTTCTGCGGCCATCCGGAACGTTTCGCCTTCCGCTATTAGGAAGCGACTGGAGCTATGCACTTTGAAACCTCGATTGAAAGTCATTACTTCAGAACTGTTTTTCGTGTTTCGTTTGTTGTATTTCCGCCGCACCTCCGATTAGCACGGTTGGCCACGTACGGTACAAAAGAAGTTCAACGTACCCGTGTATTTTTTAGCAGATGAGAGGAGCTATTCGGCAAGCAAAAAATGGATCGAATTAAAACCCGTCAAGAGCCAACGCATCACAACTCCTGGGTGCCTCTGGGATGCCCGGGGTGGGGGTGTCCCACGCGCGAAACAATCCGCCTCCCGAGGCTACGACATTGTTGCGCTCAATTACCCAGATGCCTCTCCCGCCACAGTCTCGCCCCGGGGGTCTTTAAAGGGCCCCCTGACAGGGACCTCCCTCTGACCCCAGCCAGGGGCCCGAGCCACGCCGCCGCCACCACCACCGGCGATTGTCCCCACGATGTGGCGTCTCCACGGCTCGTTCCCGGCGTCGCGTACCGAGCGGTGTCTTTGGCGCGGTGCCCGACGCGGAATGAATTCCTGCGGAGCGGTGGCACGGCGGTTGGCACTGCGCTGCGTTAGCGAATACGGACCACGGCTGACGTCGATCTGAACCGGTTCTGCGCCCTCCCCGAGGTCGACTCAACCTTAAAATGAGTACCTGGTTCGGTGTTTAAACAACAGCATTGGGGAGGCATACTCTCACGGGCTGTGGTGTTGGTCACCACACCGCCCGTGCTGGCCTCAATAGATGCTCACTAACAGCACGTGTCTCCCAATGGTCTGGTAGAGGCTGTTGTGGGTGTCGGTGCTGCTGTACCACTCCCAATGCAGTCTCCCGCCTTTTTGTTATTCTTACACATCGGTTGAACCCTGTGAGTCAGTTTCCTTTTCAATTTGTTTTGACCGCTACTTGCTCGCACACTTTGCGTGGGTGTGAGCTCCGGGACTTGCCGTAAAGGCGGCGGCCTGGTGATGTCGTGTTGCCACACGGCTCCCTCGTGTGCCCGTGCCGGCCTTAATAAGCGCTCGCCAACAGCACTTGTCTCTGTTCTCCCTCGAGCCTGTACCGTTGAATAGGGAGCCCTGTCTGTGTGTGGGGAGCGGTGGTGTAGCGGTGAGCGTGATGCGCTGCGAACGCTGGTGGTGACCCAAGTTCTGGCCACAGTTAACATGAGTTCGAAGGGATATTAGAACCAATATTGGGCCTCCCCTAGGTTAACCCGGCCTTAAATTAACACCTTGTGTGGAGTGTACACATCAGCATTGGGGAGACAAAGGCAGCCGGTATGGTGCTGCTTACCAGACTACCCCCTTGTGTGCCGTGCCGGCCTTGATAGGTGCTCGCTAACGTTACTTTCCCCAATGGGTCGATGCAGCTTTTCTGGGATCTATTGTCTGGATGCACACACGTGTCTCTGTGTGTCTTGTGTGTTTCTCTACGAACAACGGCGACCCGAGTTCGATCTCCACTCACGGCCAACAACCAGTGACGATTATTCGAACCGGTCCTCCCCTAGGTCGACTCGGCCTCAAAGGGGTACCTGGTGTGGTGTGTAAACATCACCACTGGGGAGACAAAGGCGGTCGGGCGTGGTGCTGGCACCCACCCCCTCGTGTACCGTACGGGCCTTTATAGGTGCTCGCAAACAGTACTTGCCCCAACAGTCTGTTAAGGCTACACGGGGGATCTTTGTCCTCATCTCACTGGATCCTCCTCATCTCTGTGGCCTCGTTTGCCCCCCCCACCCTTCCCCCCTGGCACAATAAAAGTCAGAAATTGTGACCCAAAATTGCTTCCCATTTTGAACGTCCTGGATGATTACCCCATATCGTGGTTTTCTGTTGCCGACACGACTCCGCGTTTGCGCATCCCTCCGACGTGTTCGTGGGGGGGGGGGGGGGGGGGGGGACGCGCGTGCCGTTCGACACGACGCCTTACGTTTCACTGCGCATGCCCTGGGGCTTCTTTGGAACAAAATAAGTTCGGCTCGGTGAAGAAGCACTGCGGCACGCGGAGTGAAACGTCGGCCCGCGGGGCTCCCGGCGCAGTCGTGTGGCCGTGCCGCCGTCGTCATCATCGCCGTCCTCGTAACCGTCGTCGTCTCAACGATGAAAGGCGTTCGTGGCAAAATGCATAAGCGGTGTCCCAAGATCGTCTGCCGGGCCTTTTCCCGTATTTGCACCGGGCGCGGAACGTCGGACATCGCGCCGGGTAACACGGGGGCACAGCCCGAAAGCACACGCCGGACAGCTGTCGTGTGCAGCGCGACCGCGGGGAACCGACGCCGCTGCCGCCGCTGCTTCTTATTCTGCTCCTTTGCAGCGTCGACTTCTGCATTCCGTAGCCCTGGCCACACGGTGCACAAAGTGAGCCTTCGCGACGGAGGAGGAGGGATCTGCGTCAAAGTGTGCCTTGGTCAAAGTGTGTCTTGTTACGGAGGGTGCTCCCTCGCTCGCTCCCTCGCTCGCTCGCTCCCTTTCTCTCCCGTGCTTTTACTCTCTTCCCACCGCAGTTGCTAAGCGCCTGTTGGCTTGAGAAATAAAATTCCTGGCGTGGAGGGCCGGAGTACGCACAAACGTGTGGCATCCCCGCCCCCCCCCCCCCACGCTTCATCCCCTGCGCTCCTCCTTGCCAGCGACTGGGCGGTCAATTCCGTTCCGCCTTGCTTCAATTAGCCGGCTCGGGTTTTGTCGCAGTTTAATTCCAGAGGCCTGCTGCGCATTAGGACTATTTTTTTTCTTGGAAACAGTTATCGGGGGTTGGAGTTGGCGGTGCAATTTACAGGAAAAGGCCCCAGCAGACGCAACGACGCGGGTCTTTGTAGCTTCTTGTAAATCCGTCTTATTAGATGGTGATGGTGACGATAATGAGAAGCTGATGATGATGACACCTTTGACAATGCTGATGACCATGCTCATCATCATGACGACGACGATGATGAAGAAGACGATGATGCTGACGCTGATGATGACGACGACGATGATGATGAAGGCGTCGATGACGTCGAGAAGGTGGGACAATGTCCCGTCTGCGGTGACGTGAGCGGCACGATTGACCGACACCGGTTGTGGGGCAGTGGATTGCGGCGTGCTGCTCGACGCACCCGCAGACCCTGAGCACGGTTCCCGGCCACGGCTAACGTCGGTCGCGAGTGACATCTGGAGCGGTCGCACGGCTGAATACACTTGCACCGCAGAATCACTCAATCTGGGATGACGCACGCACACGGCAGCGATCGTCGCCCCCTACTGACAGACTCGTGCCCACCGGCGGCGGGGCAGTACCGAGTCACCTTGTGCCGCACGCGGACAGCTGCCACTGGGGGTGCCCCCTTCGAATTGTTGAGCAGAAATGTCGTAAGGCGCTTCGAGATGGTGAGGCGTTTCATTAAGCTCCTCGTAAATGCAGAGATTGCTGTCATTGTTAAGGTGTGCGTGCGTGTGTGCGTCTATCTTCCCCCTTGTTCAGGCTCGTAGACGATCGATGCGTCGTGCAACCTGCAGCCGGGGATCTTACTCGGCCTCCCAAGAAATTCAGAGGTGAGACCCCCTTCCCCGCTTCCCTCTACCCTCGTGTGATCAATGGTGCTTCGTGGTGAGAAAGGGCCCTGGTGCAAGGAATGAAATGGGGCCCCCTGTCCAATTTCACTCAGCAACTCACTCAACTATACACCCACTCTACCACTTACCAAATCAACCACTCAAACACTCACTAGTTCACCCACTTAACCACTCAGCCAACCACTCGCTCACCCACTCAACTACTCACTCAGCCTCTCACCCACTCACTCACCCACTCACCCATTCACCCACTCAATGACTCACTCAGCCTGTCACCCACCCACTTAACCTCTCACCGTCCCTTCCTACGTGACTAAATGTGTTCTGGGGACGGGGCGGGGGTGAGGGGGGCTTGCACAGGGTAGTCCACTGCTCACTGTTAAGAGTTCTGATGGGAAGACGCCGATAGCAGCATTTGGATAGAAATTGGTAAAAAGAAAAGCAAAAATACATGTGCGTGCGTGAGTGTGTGTGTGTGCATGTGTGTGCGTGTGTGTGCGCATGTGTGTGCGTGTGTGCGCGTGTGTATGGGTGTGCGTGCGTGTGTGCGTGCATGTGTGTGCGCATGCGTGCATGTGTGTGCGCGTGCGTGTGTGCGTGTGTGTGTGCGTGTGTGTGTGTGTGTATGTGTGTAAAACTACGTGGCCGGGAGTCGGAGCCATTCCCTGTACACCTTGGGGTGCGACAGGGATGTCATCTGGCTCCCACATTATTTAATATCTATTTCGACCACTTAGTTCGTGAAGCCTTCAATAGTTGCAACCGGGGAATTTCCATCTGGTACAGATACAATGGGAGGCTGATCGATCGATGCTCGAGTGCGGTCAAGGGATGGCTCCCTATTGCTGAACCATGTTATGTATGCCGATGATCTGGTAATTGCTGCTCACTCAGAGGAGGAGTTGGAGGTGCTGCTGCTGAACCTGGAGCTTGCCACTAAGAGGTGGGGCCATGCCATCAGCCCCACCAAAACTAAGCACCTGCCTGGGTATTTTGTACCATTGGACACTCCACCCCCACAACTCCCAATTGGTGATAGGGCAGTTGTGGATAGAGTGGAGAGTTTCTCATACCTGGGCAGTGTGCTCATGACCGGCTCCGGTTTAAGAGCAGAGGTCTCACTCCGAATCAGTCGAGCGGCATTATCTCTTAATCGGTTGCGTAACGCTGTGTGGAAGGTACCTGGTCTGTCGCTCCGCACGAAACTTCAGGTCATCTCTGCCACAGTCATTCTCTCCCTTTTCTACGCTTGCGAAACGTGGACCCCCCTGATGGAACATCTTTTCCGGTTAGAAACATTTCAGCTGGCCTGTCTATGATCCATCCTGGGTTTAACCAGGCTGGATTGTGTGAGGAGCTCACAAATCCTTGAAAGATCTGGACAAAGTCCAATCGGTGAGCTCCTCCGGCAGGCAAGGCTGCGTTGGCTGGGCCATGTAGCCTGCATGCCCAGCCACCACATGCCTAAACAGCTTTTGTTCGGCCGGATGGAGGGGGCTAAACGGGCACGGCACGGGCTAGAGAAGAGATGGAGTGATGTGGTACAGGAGGATGTGGAGCTGAGTGGACTTGCCGATGACCGGTACCAGCGGTGTCAAGATCGGCCTCTGTGGAGGAGGCTCGTGAAGGACGCTACTGGGCAGTTGGAGGCAGTTGGAGGCAGTCGTCCTCCAACAATAATGGAGGGCGGAGGAGTGACGCTCGCAACAACGAGCGGAGCGCCAGGTGGATAAAGCACAGCAAGTTGGCACAGTAGGGGGCAAAGGTGGTGTATCAGCCAGTCGTCTCAGTCAGTCGACCTGTGGCATCTGGGTCTGCCCCGTGACCTCCTGCCAGCGGGCCTTCGACACTTCACTTGGCTTCAAGGTGCACATGGCCTGGCACAAGCGTGGTGGTGATGTCACCGCCACTTAGTGGCGAATGGCGGTTGTTGTTGTATGTGTGTGTGCGTGTGTGTGCGTGTGTGTGCGCGCGCATACTACGTACATACGAATGCTGTTAAGAAGCTAATGTAGGCAGTGCCGTCAAATTCCAAAGCATTGCGCAATAACCAGAACATCCGTTCGCCCTTGCATGCCCGGTGCACACGGGAGGTGAGAATACTGTAATACAAAATAAATAATACCAATTGAAATACTTTTTAAGTGTCAGGGTTCAATTTGACTTTGTTTAAGCGGTGACCTCGTGGGGACATTAGTCCGCTGCCGGTAATGGGGGCGGTGATTGCTATGTAAACTGAACTATTTAAAAACTATAAACTATTTTTTATTTTACCGCGTAGGGCCCACTGAGCTATGCAGCTCTTTTTCAGCTCAACGAAGTGGCTCATCGTCACGTGGACATTTTTGCAGCCAAATTCTCTAAACGCGTGTTTCTAAAAATGTGGATGGAAAAACCGGAGGACCCGGATAAAATAATCACGTGGGCTCGGGGAGAGAGACATGCCAACTTCACATGTACAGCAGGCGTCAGTGTCGGAATCGAACTCACACCCTCCTGTATACCAGGCGAGGTAGTTAACATTTCGCCACTTTGGGGCCACGTATAATCCCAACTGAGTAGCCTGTGGTGTCATTTTCCAAGTTGTCAAATCTTCACCCACATGTTTGGAGCCCCCTTTGTCAATCCACCGCTGGACGTTGTTGTCCCCGCGCCGTGTCGGCCTGTTTGACCGGACGACTTCGCCGCGACGGTCGGTGCGTGCGGGTTTGCTGAAGCGGCCGTGGCATAGGATCGCTTCAGATGTCACTCGCCACTCGTGTGCTCGCCGTGGCCTGTGCATTAATCATAATAATTGTTAAGGGGCTAAATCCTATTTGTAGCAATTATTCACCAGGGCACCATCGCTCCAAACCAGCGAGTAATATTGCGCGGGATGCAACTAATTTCTTCAGATTTTCTGAAGCTAAGCAGGTATTTAGCCTGGAAAGTGCTTTAAAAGATATCCACAGTGCACAAATATTGTGAAAGGCTGCAGGGCGAGTTGGAGGGAGGTAAACATAGTGCTATCAACCTGGCGACCCGAGTTCGAATTCCGTTCATGGCCAGCACCAGTGACGACTATCTGAACCGGTCCTGGGCCTCCCTTAGGTCGACTCAGCTTCAAATGAGTACCTGGTGTGATGTGTGAGCATCGCCACGAGGGAGACAAAGGCGGCCGAACGTGGTTCTTGCCATCCACCCCCTCGTGTGCCATTTCGGCCTTCATAGGTGCTCGTTAACAGCACTTGCCCCAACAGTCCCACGAGGCTATACGGGGGAACTTTGTCTTGAACAGCCTCTCGCCCAACGCTCGCCCCTGATGCTGAATTTCCCAGCGAGTTGACGCCTCGATGCACCGGCCAATGTGCGTGAACATTCGCATTGTGCGTGTCGAGTGTCACGCACGTATCTCGGCCTGTCAGCGCTGCGTATGGGTAGCTACGTGGACAGGGAGGTCAGCAGGCAGGTACCCGGTAAATGTGGAACGTTGGGCCAAGGTTGGTCCGACGGTTCCAACCACATGCCAACGTTGCCCCGACATTGCACGGCTACGTAGGTAGGTACGCAAGCAGGTCGTGTTGGCACGTAGGTGAGTGGAGGGAAGGAGGGGGGTTGGTAGATGAGGAGGTTATGTAGGTAAGTAGGCAGGTATGAATAACCTTTTTGTCCGTATGCATGTTGAACGTCTTTCGCACCGTACGTAGCCAACCGTGCTCAGCGGAGGTGCGGTAGATGATCAACGTTATTCAACTTCGGTGTGGAGAAAAAACACAGTTTAACTTGGAGCATTAGTCTTCATCCATCCAGCAGCGGATTGATAAAAGGACTTTATATTATGATTCATCATCAAAGACTGCTCCGTGCATCTCTCTCTCTGCTGTGTCCTTTCTCAAAGACATTGGCAATCATGACCTTCCTTCCATTTAGTTCTGCCCATGATATTTACTCAACAACTTCGCATTTACATAACTCCCAGTTGGATCCAGTTCGCATTGCTTACGCCGCTCAAATGTTGTACGTACCCACAAATGCATCGTAGAAACGCGGAAACTCGACTTTATTTGTTTACACGTTTAAAACTAACAACGAGCGCGTACGATTGTTACATCGGCCTCAGCAGCGTGCCAACGAAAGCGTCCAAGCGAGCGCACACGAAACATTGAGGACGCCGCGTGAGCAGCAGGGCAGCGCAGGCACGAGGTTGCGGCGGCGCTGATGGCAGCGTTGCTGGACTCGCCGCTCATTCGGGGGAGCGCCAGATTAAAAGTGAAAACAAAGTGGGACTCTCAAAACAAGATAAACTGGTCTGGCGGAGACGGCGCGTCCTGGGCGCCCCGCCAGCGCAGCGTGCCTTCGTCTGTGGGTGCGATGTCATCGCGAGCGCTCGCCGGCGCTGTCATGCGCAAAAGGTAAAGGGACAGCCCTGCAATTGCGCCGCTGCTGATGGAAGGGGCCAGCTCTAGCGGGGAGTGCGGTTTGGCCGACTTTGCCAACGATGGCGAAGTTGTCTCGGGAGAGGTGCGAGCTACCCGCACTTTACCCCACCACTGCGGGACTTGCTGATTTGTCTCAACTGGCCGCGCCTTGGGAAGGAAATCAAAGCGGCGCCCTGTGGACTGCGAACCCACTGCTTCACCCGTTACGCCGCTGTGGCAGCGGCGCGGAGATAATATATTTAATGAGAAAATCGAGTTCATAATTATTATTTTTTTCTTCCTGACATTATTTCCCCACCATTGTGGGCTCTTGTCTTCCTGCGCGTCGCTCCCCGCTCACTCCCCGCTCACTCCCCGCTCACTCCTGTTCTGGGCCATCGTCTCCACGTCCACCGCCCGCAGGCCCTTCACATCCCCGGCTCGCCACTTTGAAGCCGCCACCTCTGTCTGGCCCTGCCTCTCGGACTCCACCCCAGTGACTCCACATCCAACGCCTTCCTTCTTCGTACGTGGTGTTCCCTCTCTTCTTGTGATGGCGTCCCAGCCATCTGGGTTGTACCC